AGATGATTAGTGATTGGCCTCCACATGACTTCAATCCTGTGCATATTCGCCAAGCCAGTTTCTAGAAGCTTCGCCACAGCAAATAAAGATGGTTCCTATAATATTACACATCTTCATTAAATCTGATAAGTTTATAAATCACTGAAACACAAAACACTATAGCGAGATTGCTTTATTTACATTTCATCATCATCATCATCATCATCAGTTCACTATTCGTCCCCACCGAGGAGCTCGGAGCCTACGCTAAGTTAGGGGTGACTAGGCCATAGTCAACCACGCTGCCCAAGTGCGGGTTGGTTGACTTCACACATATCTTTGAATTTCTTCTCAGATATGTGCAGCATCACGATGTTTTCCTTCACCGTAATACAACGTCGGATAAATGTACATATGTTAATCGAAAATCTAAAAACACATTGGTACATGGCGGATTCGAACCCAGGACCTGCAGATTGCAAGTCAAGTGCTTGACCTCTGAGCTACCGATGATCTGATATTTACATTTGTCATAAAAAAGTGTGCGTAATTTTCAGTTTAAACTCTACAACTACCTACCCTGTTGGAATAAGCAAGCTCCATAGCTTCATTGGACAATTTGCAGAGCGCGTCGATAAGATGATGAAGTGCCACATCATCCAAGTTCTTCGAGGATTCAAACACGCGAGACAGCATGGCTGATAGAGCTGCAAATATACATGAATAAATGGATTGGATAGATAGGCAACCCATACCCATAAGCGTATGCAATAAAGTTGAACCCAATTTCGTGCATAATAGTGAACTTCGGAGACTTGTGTGTGAAAAAATTTATTTTTGTAATTACTATTGGACTCTACGATTTAAATTTTATTGTGTTATGTTAGTCGGCATCTGTTTATAATATTTTAACATAGTGACCTGTCATAACAATTTTAACCCAAACATTAAGCCACATATCAGCAATATCGAAATCTGTGTAAGCCTCTTTAAACCAAGTTATTTGTAAACCAAGTGCTCTTTAAACTAAGATTTAGATTTCCAAATAGAGAAGTGTAATATTTTGTGCTATAAATTCGTTACTACTTATTATTTGGTTAAATAATATGTTTCATCATCAGCTCACTAAATGTCACCACTAAAGGGCTCGGAACCTACCCTAAGTTAAGGGTGACTGAAATATGTTTATTTGTATAAAAAGCGAATCCCAGTAACACGTGCAATGTAAACTTTATCTTAAATATTCATTGGATATTTTTTTATAACAAAAGTTGTTACAAAATTGCAAATCAAATACAGATAAATGTAAAAGATAAGATTTAAAGAATAATAAGTTAAAATATATTGTTAAAATAAATATCCAACGACCTTTTCTATTAATTATATATTTTTTAATCATTACACTGTCGAAAGTTTATACAAAAATACATTGCCATCTCTATCATTTATTCCAAAACAATAGAGATGGCAATACTATTTTCGTAAGTGTTAAATAGTGCATGAAATATATATTTATATAAATGTACGGTCAGCAAGCTCCATCCCAGTGCGGTGACGAACAAAAGCTTTTTTAAACCTTCTGCAAAACTGTTTTGTTACCAGTACAAGTGATCGCAAGTTGAAAATGAACTTTAACACGGAATAATAAAGTCTATTGTTGGTTATGATGTTTGTATGTATTTTTTCCAAATAAACATATATAAAGTACAACACAGTATGTACCGCTCATGACTCCGAGAGACTCGGCCACGGGAACTTGCTGACCTGCAAATAACGCTCACTACAACACTTATATACAGCGTGTTACAATTATCAATTGTGGCATGAAAAATATTCATATTAATTGATTTAAAGAAAATTTCGGCACAACTTTTCCACAAAAACTAAAAAAAATTTTTTTTTTAAATTTTTTAAAAAGAAAAAAATATAAATTACAATTCAAATAATTTTGTTATTAAGAATATGTACTGAAATTATTATATATAAGTAAAACATATTTGTAGAGTTTGTCAGTTTGTACCTGGCAGGTCAGCCATAACAGCGGAGGTGCTCATCACAGCGTTGGCGTCTGCGCTGGCGCGGCTCGCCTTCATGCTGCCGCCAGTAGACGGCTTCAAACCCAGGATCCACACCTACAATAACAATCAAGTCAAAATATAATGCGAATGTTTGGATGTACAAATAGATATTTATTAGAAGGTATCACCAGAACGGCTACAAATTTGTCATAGATGTAGAACATAATCTGGAAGATAGGCTACTATTTAAACTTTCTTAATCCTGTGCGGACGAAGTCGCGGGGAAATATTGTTTGAGTATGTACTCTCCGGTAGTATGATGTGTGTGGTATTGCGACTGACCAGATGCTGCAGCGTGGTGAGGACTGGCAGCCAGGCCTGCTGGATGGTGTCGCCGTCACGCCGCGCCGCGCTCAGCAGCGCCTTCATCGCCGTCACGTGCCGGGATGTCACCATCACGAACGACTGCTGCTGCCCTGGTAGATTAAACAGAGACAGAGAACAGAGATAACAATTTATTGTAAACAGTCTCAGAAACCAACGATAAGTGACACTGAATTCTTCTCCACGCATACGAGCACTTCAGACTGAGTTCAATAAAAAAAATCACTTTTTAATATCAAACCTATAATAAAAAATGTACCAACCAGTAGGTAGCTGTGCGCAGGGCAGTGGCGTGCCCACCCACACGACATGGTGACGGAGATCTGGTGCTGGGGGGTGAGGGGCGCGTGCAGCGGGAGCCCAGGGGCACGCCAGCGCCCCCAGCGCACCCAGCACTGGCACGCAGTACTGTGCTGGCAGCGCCGCGCGGCACAGCGCAGCCACGCACGCGTCACGTGATCCAGACACGCCCACCTACACACAACGTACACACATTTCATACCAAGCAAACAAACATCTCAAATTTAATTAAATAACGCTTCTGAACCGGTAGACATAAATCAAACTAAATTATAACAGCTCACTAACGCCCCCTTCGTTTACGATGTTAACGTCAAAACGTATCACAAAACCTCTTTGTACTGCAGCTGTCATGTCACTTTTTCTCTGTCTAAATAGGTTTTAAATATACTCTGCCAGTACTAACCGCGATAGCAGCGCCTCTCTCAACGGTTCAGATAACCTAGTTTGATTATAATATCGTTTTTTTATCTATATTTGCAATTTTCCAACCAGTTTTTCATTACACTATTAACTTCTGAAACTAAGTGCCAGTCGTTCTTAACTCACTTTAATACTAAAAGACAACAAACTCACCTTCCCACTGACCCTTGCCAGGGTCTGTATGGCACAGAGGATGTTCTCCAGCTCACCGATGCTGGCCTCCGCCAACACCGACAGACCCCACACGAGGCCGCACCATGACGACTTTATAAGCTGCAAACAATATGAAGCCATTACTTCATTTAGCAAAGGACTCGAGTGCAGCCTAATGTTATACTCAGAGTTGTTATATGGACCCTTAGTGTAGATTGAGTATGAAAATCTACACTAAGGGCTTCTGTAAGAGACCAATTATCGACATGTTAACTATCTATTTACCTGTAACATAACAAGTTTCTCCTTTTCTTCCATTTCAGGGTTGATCTTCTGCACTACATTGGAATTCTGATCTGGTTCTCCTCTATGACCGTTGTTTGATATTTCCGTACTTTCCGTAGTACTTTCTAGTTCTAAAACAAATATTTTATATTAAATTTATTTCTTAGAGATAGCTTAATAATTTCGTAAAATATTTAATAGAAAAACAAGCTGTTGCCCGCAATTCCGTCCGCGCGGAATTAAAAGTAAAATAGTCTGTGTTCTTCCAGACTACATTCTACATTTATACTAAATTTCAGCAAGATCTATACAAAAATCCATCCATCCATCCATCTAAAAATTCGAATTTATAATATTAAATATACCTTTATTGTTGTTCCCATTTTTATTGTTAATAATTTCCTCACAATCATTTTGTATGTCTTCATATAATTCTTGCAACCTATAAAACATAAACAGACATTTTAAATATTTTGACTTAACAAAATAACTTATAAGTCTAAGCACAGTCGAACGTGGATCAGCGAAAGTTCAAGGAACCGCGATGTTGAAGAGGTTCCTCTCTTAAACCAAGTGCTTCTGAAGGTCGTCCGTCAAGAACGACTCTCGCTTACTTAGTTCTCACTTATCCTGGCTTGACTGTATTTCAAAGTAATAACTCACCTAAAATACTCATCCCCTTCCACACTGATAGCAATAGATCGTATAATCTCCATGAGGCAGGCGTAGGCCACAGAGATGCCGTAACCTTCTTGTATTGTCGGCGCTTCACTCCGGTCCAACATCTCTATGCTATCAACAGAAATATTAACTAAAGTTGGTCCTTCGAGCAGGATATTTGAAGTTTATATTTTTACACAAGGCAACACATGGGCATCATATGAAAAAGCTTGAAGAACTGTGAAAGGCCGCCGTCACAAAATTGCGGATGACATATTTATGTTTAAACATATTTGACTAATAGAATGATATGGTGAAATTCAATTCAAAATTTTATTTAAAAACTTAAAAAATTGGTTATTTTACTTATTTTAATTTATAACAAAATTGATGAAAATAAAGGTGACTTTTAAGTAGAAAATAATATAAAGCTACTAGCCATGTATTTATTCGTGAATAAATTTGAAATGCAATAACTTACTACACAGATTTAGCGGTTCCAGGTTCGAAAGTGACGCAGAGCGGCAGCCACACGCCTTTCCAATAAAAGCCAGCCTGTTGGGGAAGTCCTGATGATGCTGTATGGAATAAAATGGAAAATATTCTAGACCTTACAAAATTAAAGTGAAAAATTATACAATTGCTTTTTTATATTTAGTTAACGTTATATTTGGTTTAGTTTTATAATTGTCACTACAAACTACAGAAACCACAAAGTTCTTATTATAAATTAAATAAGTTTTTTCCTTAAATATCTAATGAATTGTAAAATTAATCTACTATGCCATGTAACGTCAACTTTGAATGAAAATGAACGTTTTTCACCTACAGCTAGTTCTATGCGTTATAAATTTAACAACACGATATGTAAACGGTATAAACAGTGAGTACAAATTAATTTATTTGAGATTTTTGCTTAACCCATAATTCGAAGAAATTTTTTGTAGCAAAAAAACAGTTTTTTTTAGTAAATTACTTACGTAATTTTCTCTAAACTAGTTCAGTACATTTTTTTATTAGTTGTTCGTCACACTGGACTCCATCGAATTAAGGGTTAAGGCGAACTATTTAACATTTGTTCTGATTTCTTTTGTGGAAATTTAACAAAGTTAACAATTTTACGGTAACATCTGTGTACAGTTCGTCGTCAAAAATTAAACATGCGCTGCACGCGGCGCTTCTCACCGGGCGTGTGCGCTGAAGCTGTTGTGCCTGTTTGGACTTTTGATTTCTTCTCGTTAAATTGCACGTTAGTGTCTAACAAAATTTTAGTAAAAAGCTTAGTAAAAGTCGATAATATATTAACAGCTAACAAAGAGCAAGATATCGCTTTGATGACGCGTGATATACACAGGGGCGTGGCGTTTTGAGTAAAAAACTATTTAATCTTACTAATATTATAAATGCAAATTTTAGGTGTATGGATGATTTTTAGGAAGTATCTCCAGAACGGATGCATGAATCTCGTTGAAATTTGGCATAGATATAGAACATAATCTGGAAGAACACATAGGCTACTAATTGAGTTTTACAGTTTAAATCCACACGGACTTATTAGCGGGCGATAGCTACATAAAAATAATTCTCCCTCCATCCAGTGAACGTCTTGGCTGCTATCTATCGACTAGATCCAACCGGTTTCCGACTTATATGCTCTGTTTACGATCTTGTCGTGCGTTCATCGATCTATACACGCAGACGCTGTCCGAAGATGACGGACAGTTGAAGAGATTACGCTCAGAAACTCGTAAGTACACTATTATGACTTAGACTTTTAACAGTGGTAGAGCCCGCTTTAACATCTTCGCAGGAATTGTCCCGGCTCGCCCGGTGAAATACCACGACCACACAGAAGACAGGCGTCAAGTGGAAGCTATTTCGCGTTTCGTCTGATGAGTGTGCGTCCCGAAGGCTTAATTTAGACCCCTTTCCCTTCTCACCCTTTTTCTTATAAGGAAAGGATGGGAAGTGGAAGTAGACTTTCTGGATGAGAGGATGCATGGAAAGGGAAGATATTTTCTTTCAGTGCATCGTCTCCTCCATCGATTAAAGGTAGGCAACGCATATGCAATTGCGTATGTCTATGGGCAGCGGTCACTTCGCTATTTCAACGATTTCAGGTGGTCGCTCGCTCGTTTGCCACCTTTTGATATAAAAAAAAGAAAAAAAACCCTTTTCTCCAACAATCTATATTGTCATTTAAATGTTAAAGACCTAAGAAACAGAATATTTATCAAGACAACTTTTCTCAAAACAGTAATTAAATTGTAAAGAGCAATGTATCCTAGTGTAACACTGAATGGATTGTTGACAGTTCACATAAAGATATCGTTAAAACTTTTTCAATCTTATAAGTTTAGACTTTGGATGGATGGATGTTTGAAGGTATCTCCAGAACGGATCAACGGATGTTATTGAAATTTTGCACAGATATAAAACGTTGACTAAAAGAATACATAGGCTACTTATTGTTTTTTTATTTGCGCGCGGTCTGTGTCGCGGGCGATAGCTAGTATAGCTATAAACTTATAACAAAAGAACATTATACCAATCGTCTATTTATTTAAAAAAAATGTATCCAAAGGTGAATCGATCCGTCGAGGTGATGGTTTTCTCCAGTCATTCTACAAGACAGAAGATACTGAGGAGGAGGAGCAATCAGAAATGTGGGAGGGTCCCGCTACGGAGGGGGCGGAGCTAGACGTAGCGGTGAGTGAGCTGCTGGTGCCCGACATTGACTACGCGGGGGTACAAGTTAACAACGAAGATTGTGATCTTGTACATCATTTGCATACGTCTAAATATAATAAATTAAATTAATAAAAGTGTCAACTTTTTTATTGTATTCGTTGAATATGCTTTTAAGTTTATTTATCGCACTCAGACTCCTGTAATTGTAACTTAAGTAGTCCCTTAGTATAAATTTTACGCATTAAACCTACTTTACAATAAACTTCTTAATAAAAAGCTATAAAACACAATGAAATAATTTTTCAAGGTCATTTGCAATTTTCTGCTATTTATAATATTAACGTAGACTGAATGAAAATATAAATGTTTGTATGTATTTGTATGAATGTAGAAATAGCATAACAAGTGTGTTATAATAGTATTGTCAAGAAGCAATATGTAAGCGTACCTAGGTGCTGGTTGAGCTGGTTGGCGACGAAAAGGCTCTGCACGTAAGCTCCGAGCGCGTTCACGATGTCCTGGAATATGTTGGTGGCGTGAGGCTTCATGTCGTAGCACTCACAGAACGCCTTCAGTAAATCTGTACAAGGGAAAATAAACCTTATTATGTATAACATAAAGACGAAATTTAGAACTACTAACTATATAATTTTGTTTGCTTGATGTCGATGAAATCTGATATACATTTAGGACATAATCTGGAAGAACATATAGGTTACTAATTATATGTATTTCATTCCTCCCGGACTGAGTCGCGGGCAATAGCTAGTTAACTGTGTGATGAACTTACGTGGCTGTATGGTCATCTTGTGCAGGACCTCTAACGCCAGAGCGCGCTGCCACAAAGGCTTGTCCGGGTCCAGGAACTTGATGGTCAATGACAGGAAGATCTCGCACTCTGTCACCTGAAATACAATGTTACATTAACACACTGTCACACCAAGAATTAGTAATTCGTCACTAAAGCAGACCCTTAGTAACTACTTAAAATCTACATTATACTACACTAACTACAGCTAAATTAAACATTAACTTTTATTCTGGGGACGTACAGAAATTAATATTCCATATTTTACTGTTTTGGTAATGTAACTACAGAACCGAATTTTAGTTTTAGTTCACGGAATATCATAGTACTTCCTTTTTTTTTTTTATATTTCCATCAAATTCACTTTCTACTCCCGTCCTTTATTTACAAGAAAATAGGAAGTAAAAGGGGACTAAAATCAGACTACACGAATTACTTCCACTTGACGCTTGTCTTGTGTAGTCGTGGTGTTGGTCCTGTCGAGCCGGATAATTAATGCAAACAGTATAGTTGTTGGTGAGATGTACTCACCAGCACTTGATGATACTTGTGCACGATGATGGAGACGAGACGCAGCAGCCGCATGGTGACGGGGAAGTGCGGCCGCTCGGGCGCCGGGCTGCCCGCCCCCGCCGCGCCCGCACTCGCCCCCGCGCCCGGGATGTGCAGCGCAGTGAATGCAGCTCTATTACAAATACCAATACAGTCGAAATTCGAATATTTTGCTTGAATTTGTCACATAAGGTAAATACAACTTTAAACCTTGACAATAGAGTTGATATTAGAATGACACGTGAAGGAATGAACTCTACTGTTCGCTAACCATGGGTTTCTAAGACCAAAATCCCTGTTAAAAACATATTGTCTTTCAAAGATAATGAAAGGGATGATGATATATTTGATACTGAGATTTTGGTCTCAAAAACCCACACTAAGACTGTTGTTTGTTTCACCATCAGCTCACTATACGTCCCCACCGAGGGGCTCGGAGCCTACCCTAAGTTAAGGGTGATTAGGCCATAGTCAACCACGCTGGCCCAGTGCGGGTTGGTTGACTTCACACATATCTTTGAATTTCTTCTCAGATATGTGCAGGTTGCATCACGATGTTTTCCTTCACCGTAACAACGTCGGATAAATGTACATATGTAAATCGGAAATCGAAAAACACATTGGTGCATAGCGGGATTCGAACACAAGACCTGCAGATTGCAAGTCAGGTGCTTGACCCCTGAGCCACCGACGCTCGACGTTCTTTGTTTAGTAAGTTTATAATAGGAAATAATAGATATAAAGGGTGTTACAATTTTCATATTACCTGTATTTGACATTTGGTGAGAATAGCCTTATTATGAGAGCACAAACATGCTCTTTGAGTAGAAATCTAAATTCTTGAATCTGAAAGCGAAAAACCAACACATTTTATTTTCAATTCCATCTTAATAAATATAGAAAGTTCTAGAAATAATCCTCACTTTAAAGAACACTTCGGAGAAATCAGTCAGCACAGTATCGAGCAGCTCCAGACCGAATGTCTTTGGCACATCAGATATACCGACCAACCAATGCGCAGCATCGCCGTTTATTAATTGTATTATATCCTTGAAGAAAAAAAAAAACAAATGAAAAAACTTTAACATATAATTCTAATTACAAAATACCACAACAAATTGTTTAATGTATTTTTGATGTTATTCAAAAATAATCTTGTCATCTGATAATACAAAATTCTTCAAGATAACAAGCCTTTTTGTTGTAATTAAGAATACACCTATTTATACTTTATAAAGTACTAGCGGACCCGACAGACATTGTCCTGTCTACACGTCTTTAATTTGAATAAATTAATATGAAGTTAATATTTGATGAAAATTGTGAATCTAAACCATTCCCAGATCCCCTTGAACACACACAAAAAATTTCATCAAAATCGGTCCAGTCATTTGAGAGAAGTTCAGTGACATACACACTCACAGAACAATTATATATATAAAGATTTCATAATATTTTTATGTGTACAGTCAGCCGCATAAATATGTATATGTTCACAATGCTTCAGAAACTTGTATATCCCTTCAATTTCAAAAAGATGTATGCAATATGTATACATATCCGTCTATATTCTTTCGACCATAAATACATACTAATGTTGAATCCCAAAGATGGATGGATGGATGGATGTTTCTTACTAAATATCTCCAGAACGGCTAAACGGATCTCTATGCTCTAGATATAGATCATAGTCTGAAAGAACACATAGGCCACTAATTAAGTTTTTTTTATCGTGGACGACAACTATGGTTTACTTATTTATGCAGCTGACTGTACATACTAGTCCTTGAAGTAGTACTTACTTGTAATATAAGATACGCGTCAGTTGCACAAGGCTTCAGTTCTTTAGGTGCTTTTGTATTTGTCTGTAATCTCACATCTGCGGGATTCACTTTCAATTTACCTTTAATACAAAAAAAAAGGTAAAGTACAAGAAATTCATAATCTTACTACTAATAATGCGAATGTTTGGATGTATGTATAGAAGATAGATGGTATCTTCAGTATAATGAAACTGAACTCAATGAAATTTGCTATAAATATGGAACACAGGCTAACTATGATCCCAGAAATATATACAGTTCCCTTATTTACTCGATAATTCTACGACAGTTCGATATATCTCAAAGAAATTTAACCTATTACACTCAATTAATATTAATTAAAAGAAAAGAAACAAGTATGTTAGATTCCGACATATTAATTTAGCTTCTTCTTCTCTTCTGTAGTTAAACATAACTATCTTTGAACTATACCATAAAATATCCTTTCATTTAATTATCTTATAATAATATTACCATCAGCCTCAGCAAGAGCACGTTCAAACACAAGTGCAACAAGCTGCCGCACTGTAGCTGCTGCTGCATGACTGGTGCTGACGTCACGTGCTTCACTGGCAGACACCGTGCGCATACACATCACCATTGTCTGTAAATATATCTTACTAATATTATAAATGCAAATGTAACATGGATGTATGGATGTTTGTTTGAAGGTATCCCCGGAACGGCTGCATGGATCTCATTGAAATTTGGCAAGGATATAGAACATAGTCTGAACAAACACTTAGGCTACTTATTAAGTTTTTTTTTAAAATTCAGTATGGAAGGAGTCGCGGACGACAGCTATTTAGAACATAAATTTGCAAACATGAACACAAAGCGTACTATTCCTTTCTCATTAGAATTATTGCTTTTTCTATGAACAATTTTGGTACAATTTTTAGTCCCATGGAGGGACCAGAATCAATAGAAAATTGGTATTAGAGACAAATCTTATGAGCAATATTTAATTGTTAGTTTAATAAGCAAAATTATCATCAATTTTTAAGTCAAAGTTTATATAAGTTTGTTTAAATAGACATTCCTTATTAAAAAGAATATATAATATATAATATAATTTGCTCTCACTCTTGCTAATGTATCTCCGTGCACAAGATCAGATGTGGTCATCAAAAGTGCAGCAGTCTGTAGTAGCTTCAGCTCCAGCACTCCTGCCTGGCCGAGATTGTACAAGCAATCCACCACATGTCTGGCTCCCTTTGCATCAATCCCTTGCTGAGCTATTAAACGCTGTATTGTGCCCAGACAGAACTGGAAAATTGTTTACAATAGAATTAAATAATTAACCTGAGATGAAAAACCCCATTTAAACTATAATACTAGATAATGATTGGGATGATGTTAAATTTAATACACAGATTTTTGCGTCAGAAACCAATAGGTAGTTAGGTAGGTTAGTCATATAAATATTATTCAAAACACTCTGTATTGCTAAGTTGTAATTATTAGTATATTTATGTTTGTTTATTCTTACATATACATAATATATTTAATGAATCAACCATAATGACTTCTAGGTAAAGTAAAATACAAAAAAGATTATGTAAAATCTTTTTAAAAGTTCAACTAAATTAAAAGTTATCATTTATGTTTACCTTGATAATTTTTATATCTTTTGATTCACACCCTTGCACTAAGGGATAAAGTATTTGATTCACTACTCCATACAATGATGCTTGTGGGTTATTTGAAGCAAGGGCTAATTTCTCTATAGCCTCATCACATGCCTGAAAAAAAACAAATTATAACTTACTACTTTGTAAACATGTTGAAAATTTCTATCTTAAAAAAATGAAAACTAGTTTAATACCAACTTTGTAGTTAACATGCCCCAATTATTAACTGGCTTCTAAATTAAAACTATTTCGTGAATACAAATAAGTAAGAAATTTAATTGACATTGTTCTAAGAATATTTATTTACATTATAATACTAGTAAAGAGAAACTATGTTCAATAGTTGTTAAGGTCGGTGGGTGGCGATTTTGATTTCTTTTAAAGTTTAACATAATTTCTATTACAAAATAAACAGAAGGATACAAAACCTCTCTTATCTGAGGATATTTCTTTTTAGTTTCCAAGCTGAGTGTTTTGAAGTCATTTTGTAAAACGTCCATGAACTTCTTTGTCGAATCATCGCCGGTCACAGCACTAACGAATGCCATTTTTTAAAAACAATTCATTAATTTAATTATTCATCTCATAATTTACATGAAAAATTACCGAATTAAAATATGCCATGTATACAATCGACATCACTACTTTGTGTTCGGAAATCAGACAAAAGTTGTGAGATAGTTTTTTAATTTAATTTTTATTTTACAACCCGTCGGTCTGTTTTGTTTTTCTCATCAATTTTAAACTTTATTTAAAGTTAACTTGCAGTTTAAAATTACCTAAGGTATTAAACAAATGAAGTGAAATTCTCCGCTGACATTTAAAATAAAAAATATTGTTTTTGAACGAAATCCAACAGATTAATACAAACGGAACGTTCATTTTAAAGATAAGTTTACAAAAAAACGGGCAAATAAGGGGCTGCCTGGGGCTGCCAAATGTTTTCCTTGCTCCTTATTTTTTTGTTTTAAATGAATATTTGTACTTGTAAGTAACCTATATATATATAGTATATTGGTAATATTAGTATTTAATTTTGAGGTGTCGCCTTTCGCCCTTAAATAATTATCTTGTGGTATTTTCTTGATACCAAAAATAAAAAAGATGAAAAATGTAGAAAAGCAGAAAGAAATGTGCTTCGTAGCAAGTGGATTTGATCTGTGGGCGTGAGGGGTTTTTTGGACTCAAAAATAATAGGGAGTTGTTACTATTTTATATTTAGCTATTAAATTTATACTCTTTCCGACCGTTTTAGTAAGTGCGATTCTACAACATAGCGTAAACAAAAAAGTAGTTATTATTTAACACTTTCAATTTGTTTTTATTAATAACCCGTATAATTAGTAATATCCATTTATAAACAAAACTTAGATTAATAAGTGAAAGTAAAAGAAAATTGCGAATTGTGTTGTGCTGATCAATGATGACCCACTTTTAATGGTAACAATTTTTTTTCAAGTAGCAACATCGATGTACTGATTGTGCAGAAGAAAAAACAATGGTGTGATTCCAGATTTTTATTTGTAAGTATTTATAGAATGAAATAGCAATTTAGTTATTGTAAAAGGTTGTGTGCTTATAAAACTATACAAGTTATCGTCTTACTGGAATCAAAGGTATATAACGAACCTATTACTTCTTAATTTAGTGTTATAGGGTTTGACGTTTTGTCAATGCGATTTTTACTCTATTTATTCAGCTTGATTCAGCTATGCGCCATTCTAAGTGCAATAAAACGGCCTGTGTCTGCGGATTTTAGAACATCTTTAAATAAAACGCGATGTATCGCCAGTGCAATGGTTAGAAGTCTGACGTTGTGGGGTCGTCTCGAAGTTATGACACCCGCATATTGTGTTTTTCAGTGTTACATTTTCTCGGTGCCGGCACCTAGATTTAGTTAATTGATTGTTATTTGTGTTATTTTCCTGATACTATGGACACAGATCAATCTGCTGGTGACTTGTTTTGGTAGCGCTGCATTCCTCGGGCCTCTTACGTGTCAGTTGAATCTTAAAATTAGTTTTTCAATGCGACATCCGCGATTAATGTTATTCAACACGATTTCGTAAATATTAACATGTCTACAACGTTTACAGCATGATTATTTGTCTTTCGGCTTATAAAAAGACTTAAAAGTAAAAAGAAAAGTCTTAATATTTAATTTTTAATTAATTTATAATAGTAAACATAACACTTATTGGCATTACTGTAGTAAAACTTTACGAATCTGACAACAATCAATAAGCAAAGTAATTTAATTCAGTTTATTTATTTTTTTATTAAATATCCAGTGAGATTTTTAACAATTTTTCACAAGATCTGAGAGTTTAGAAGATAATTTGCTGTATGCTATTACTATTTGTTTTGTATGGAATTATAAGTAAATTATGTCATGGTTAATAGATTTATTCATGATAATTACATTACAATAGTGTTTAACTTTATCAAAGTTGTAACTTTCATAGCAATCATGTTATTTTGTAAGAAGTAGTACTATTTCGGAAGATATATAGGATTTATGCAGTTTATAAAATAATCATTTAAACACTCCGAAAACACACTTGATACTGTCCAGTTATACACATTTTTTTTATGCCTTTGGCTGCCAGTAATCCAGATTATGAACATCAAAATGGTTATAAAAGAATGTGTCACTAAAACTGCTACCGGTATAACTATTTTGTTATTTATTTGTCAAAAGCACAATTCAGAAGCCAACAGCATACAATATAATGGTTGATATATATTCAAGCTTAAATGTGATAAAAATTCTGTTAAGATTTTAATGATTAGGCATTTAATTTCCAACAGACAATATCATCTTGAATCAATTCATAGGTCAAATATAAACAATTTTGCAAATTGTTTTAAGGAATTATAGTTTTGCATGAATTTGCTGTGTAGTTATTAAAAAAATTGTATGTATATGTTTCTTACATAATAACATTGTTAACTAAAGCCTTAAATAATAATCCCAACTAATACTGCAATGCAAATTACATAACTCATATACATAGCTTATAGTAGTATTTTATTAAATAACAAATACATAATAAACATCAATAAATTTTATTGAATTTTTTCTAATAATCTCAATTTAATGTTACTTATTTTTTCTTATAATTAATATATATAAATAATTATTATATAAATAATTACTAGCTGTCGTCCCCGAATCTGTTCGCGCGGAATTAAAAAAACACAATTATTAGCATATGTGTTCTTCCAGACTATGTTCTATATATATGCCAAACTTCATCGAGATCCATTCAGCCATTCTGGAGATACCTTGTAATAAACATCCATCCATACAAACATTCACATTTATAATATTAGTAAGATTATAAATTAAGGTTACTATATTTCTTTTTTCTAAACATTATCATTGCAATTTATTGCCGCAGATTCTGTTCACCTTTACTCGAAACTACGAATAGAATTTTATCTCACTATTATCTGGTTTAATTATGCATAATTTGTGCCCACTCTAATTTCAAGAGATGCATATCACAGCAGGTGACCATTAAGATATAAGATAAAAATAGTTTATATATTAGTAAGATCTGTGAATATTTCCACAATTAATTAATTTATATCTTGGATATTTATATGCAATATAAAATAGTAAATAAGAGATTGCTTATAGGAGTGTTCAAAATTGTTGTGACAACTTGTAAGTGTTTTTCTTTCAGTTTAAGTTTTTCATTAATTGAGTAGTTGTTTTAGGAGTTAGTAAAGGAACTCTGGAACACATGTATTTTAAACCAAATAATTGTGTACCTTAAAATTTACAACTCTTTGTTAATTCTTGCTTTAATAATAATGAGAATTCTTTTTTTCATGCTTCAACATCTAATTATTATACCCCCTATTATACAATGCCCCCTATTATGCAAATAATTGCACACAAATAAATATATAATTAATTTTGTTATAAAAGAAAACCTTACCAAAAAAACTTTGTTCGGAAATCATTCTATAAAACAACATCTGCTGGTTTTTTAAGCAATAGGATCATTATTATTTTTATCAGGTTGTATTGTTATTGTATATTAGTCATCCCTTCATTGATATTCAAACCTTGTATTAAAGTTAAAAGACCTTGTAGCTTAGATGTTAGTATACACATCAATGTAAGGTCTCGGATTCTTTTCTATATGAAGGAAAATATTAAAAATAAATATGAAAGATGAAATGATTTTATTTTTACACAATTAGCGACTAGAAAACTTTGTAAATAAGAAAGAGAATATTTCAATGAGAAGTTGGCTGTATTTTACATATTTTTTTTTGTTTCAGATAACATCAAACAAAAGTCCGATCCTGCAATAACTTTCCAAAATCTTCCTCAAGACTGTAACAATTTAGATTTTAAATGAATTTTTGTTGTTTAACAAATGTATGGAGTCGCTAAGGGATGCCAACAGTGAGAGAGAATCAAAAGACGGAATTAGTTATTTATTTATTCATTTAATAATTAATATTATTAGTTTGTAAATTTTGTTTCATCGGCCCACTATATGTCCTATATTATAAGGATTAAGGGTTCAGAAATGTATATTACAAGTTATTATTCTCGAATGTAATGAAGTTTGTGAGTTTTATTTATTCTTATTTAATCATTAGCCGAGTTAGGTATTTAATGGCGATTGAATTAACATCACAATGGATAACAAAGTTAATATAAGGGACGTCAGATTTTTATAGTCATTTGATGGGAAAAGTATGGACAATATGGCGTCGAACGTGTCAGTACGTAGCACTAAACAGAGGAAAGACAATTTAATCACAAGGAAGCAGGATAAAAGCCCTGAGAAGACGATCAGGGGCACAAGGGGTGCTTATCGGGGGATTCCCTCAACTTCGAAAAGAGATGAGGAGACGGACACAGGGTCTTCAGAGAGGCTGGACAGATCGAAAAAGTTTATCTCGCAGAATAAGAGTAGCTATGGGCTGGGTAAGAGGCCAGATTTCTTGAAGAATCGGAATGTACACCTTGCTTCTTCGCGGTATGGCCAGGTGAGTTTACATTTTAATTTATTTTCTTTTGATACTGTTTTAATTGGAAACTGTTACTTTTACAACTGATTTTTATATTTGGTGGCATCAAGCCAAAGTTCATTTCAACGTTATTGAACTCAAAGAATTTATAAAATATAACACAGAAAATTAATTATAAGTGTTTGTATACTTGTACGATATTGCATAGTATTAACATAATACAAATACCAAGAGACTCGCAATGATCGTGTGAATCCAATATTTGATAATATGTGTTTGTTTTGACGATTTAACCAAATAATACTTGGATGCAATTTACAAAATTATTACTTTAAGATTATGTAAGGCAAAGAAAATGTTAACGCTATTAGAGATTTTTTTTTACGTTTTATAAGCCAGCGCTTGACCACGATCCCATCTGTTAGTGGAGATTTGGTCGAAAGATGGTACGCGCTAGCTTAGTAACTGCCTATTCACTCAAAACAATCTATCAATTTTGGTGGAGTGTACGCATAGGAAGGGGAAATATCTTTCTGTGTGTCTCCTCCATCGATTAAAGGAAATGCACCTACAATTGCGCGTTTCTATAGGCAGCCATCGCTTTGCCATTTCGGATAAATCAGTTGGCCGTTTACTCGTTTGCTAACTTATAAAAAACACAGGGTCGTATTGGTACCTTTTATATTTTTTAGTATGAAGGCGTATAAAAATTTACATATGATGTAATATTAGTGATTGTTTTTATAGTTATCGTCAGCATGAAATGCGCGTGTCTATAAATAGTTTGCGGTGAAAAAATGCGGTCTGTCCAGCGGCGTGACGTCTACGCTTCGGCACCTTATCAAACCGATTGGCAAATGATTGACTCATTCGATGGCGCTTAGATATTATGTACGTGATTGTACTGTTTATTATAATATTCACACTTTATAGCGGCTCGTCGTTTGTGAATACCTTTTTCGCGCTAAATGATACCAACAGGACTACTATTGTGCGAAATTAAGAGCACTCGTAAAGTGTGAATGGCACTATACTTGTACTGTCACGTACAAAATTATTAGTACTATTTGTATAAACGTGACTTTTTTAGTACTGAAGTACAATCACGTTCAAAAATGTTATCATTTATTAGAATTAATATCTGTTTATTATTTAGCTATGCGGTGAATGTGAAAACTAGGTTGGATAACTGCGGCGGTAAAGGGTTGAAATGTGGTAAAACTTGCATATTTGAGATACCTGCACTGCGGATTTTAGTATATTTAAGTTTTTAGAAAGAAACATTTTATTTTTCTTTATATTCGAAATTCAAAAAACTTTATAAATTTTTAATAAAAATAAACCTGTAATTTTGTGTTGTTTTTGTAGTAACATAATATCGTGAAAATCGTGAGCAAATAAAAAAAATCTAAAGAGATTTCGCAAGTAAGATTGTGCTAATGTATAGGAGACGAATTTGCTGACCAAATAACTGGTCGTGGAAGTAAACAAATGAGCTAATATTAGCTAGCTATAACTTCCAGGCTTTGATTTAGGACTAAGACCTATAAAATTATATATCGATCTTTTTATTAAAATAAATTCTACTCTAAAAGAAATGCTATAATAAATAATAGTTTAAAGTCTGTCTTTTAGAGTAAAACTAGACATATTTGTTCATTGTGTATTTCTCGTGTAATGGTAATTGTTCAATTCTGAGAAACATACAACCAACAGTTGTGTTTCCTGGACACACATTGTCGTTGTAAATACTAGCTGTTACCGGCGACACCGTCCGCGCGTTTTTTAAAAAAACTCCGTAAGTAGCATACGTGTTCTTGATCTGATCATCTAACAAACATCCATCCATCCATTCACATTTATAATATTTTTAATTTTTTAATTATTAAAACTATGAAATAAATCGAAATAAGTTAGACGTAATTTGATAAGTGGGTAGTCGAAAATTTACATTCGATATTTTTATTAGATAACCTCAGAACCTATCCTTTACTTAATTAATGAAAAGCAACAACTTAAGTTTATTTTTTTATTTGAAATCAAACCCATATTTTGCGGTTTTAAAGTTAATTGATTCGCCGGTGAATAGTAAACATGTCTAAGCACGTATTTGACCTCTTAAAAAGTCACGACTAAAACAGGAATAGTATTCAGTTTTTGTAATTGCGTAGTTTTTAGGTGATAAGTAAATATATATTTCCACTTAATTGGTATTTATTAAAACTTGACCTCTGTTGAAGATTTTTTTTTTCTTTTCTAAGAGAACATACATAAAATATTTGGAAACTTTAATTATAAGTACTTCGTGATGTAGTATGCTCTTCTTATACATTCTAAATCATCTACGTACAGTCGAATACGTCGAAACTTCTATAAAGGTATGCGTCCATTGGCCCGCGCCGAACGTACCGCACATACGGCCCGCAACAAAGTGCTTGTTGATAAGTGCCGTATTTCGATGCGGGCGGATAATTTACGCTGCTCTATGTAAAATCAAGTAATTTATAGGCCTAGTCACTCCTAGCTTAGGGTAGGCGCCTAACCCCTCAGTGGGGACTTTTGTGATTTGATGATGATGATGAAAAGTCATGTAAAGCAAACTGAAATTCGTTGCGACCCGTTTGTGCGGTGCGTCCGGCGCGGGCCAGTGGGCTTAGCGAGACTCATTGTCTGATCTCAACGGACGACCTCCATAAGCGACAAAAATATCGCGGTCCCTTTTACTCTTAGGGTTGATTGTATCTTACTTTTTACTTTAATTAAAAATGAGTAAGTTTAGATGGACCTTTTTGTTGCTCATGTAACTCCAGATCGGCTGAATGGATCTGAATGATATTTGGCAAAGGAATAGATGACAGTCTGGAAAGTGCTACTAACTTTTAAATTTTGCACAGAGTCGTAGGCGATAGCGAATAATAAACTTGAAAAATGTAATGCGGATGAAAATGTTAAGTAGGCCAGTATTACTGGCTGTGGCTTTAGTATTAGGGTACATTTAGACAAAAGCCGGAATCGTACGAACGCTCAGCCGTCACGTCGGAGCGAGATAAACTTATGGGTAATATATACGTCTGTCTCGCTCTAACGCGACGGCCGAGCATTGTTCGTACGATTCCAGTTCATGTCTAAATGAACCCTTAGTTTGATATATTTTGCTGTCGCATATTCAAACAGCGACATTAAATGCAGTGATATAAGTAGAATTAATCTCTCTACGCGAAGACTTACAAGCTTTATGTACCAAGGCCTACTATGTCCACTTTTATTCATAGTACATGTATATAAACTTATACATATAATTTTAAGTATATATCGTGTTGTATGGATATTTAATCCTTATTTACTAAACAATAATAGCCGATATCGTTTAGAAGTCTTTGTACCTAATCTTACTAATATTATAAATGCGAATGTTTGGATGGATGTAAATACAAGGTATTTCCAGAATGGCATGGATCTCGCTAACATTTAGCATAGATGTATTTTTTTTTTTAATATCAAAAGGTGGCAAACGAGCGAGCAGCCACCTGAAATCGCTGAAATAGCGAAGTGACTGCTGCCCATAGACATACGCAATTGCATATGCGCTGCCTACCTTTAATCGACGGAGGAGAGGATGCACAGAAAGAAAATATCTTCCCTTTCCATGCATCCTCTCATCCGTAAAGTCCACTTCCACTTCCCATCCTTTCCTTATAAAGAAAAGGATGGGAAGGGAAAGAGGACTAAATTAGGCCTCCGGGACGCACACTCATCAGACGAAACGCGGAACTGCTTCCACTTCACGCCTGTCTTCTGTGTGGTCGTGGTATTTCACGGGCGAGCCGGGCCGATTCGTGCGAAGATGTTAAAGCGGGCTCTACCACTGTTAAATATAACATGGAAAAACACATAGGCTACTAAGTTTTTTCAACCCGGGACGTAGTCGCGGGCGATAGCTAGTTTGAAGATAAATAGCAATTATCACCTTTAGAACAATCGGTAAAAACAAAGTTTTTTAATTTTTTTTTGGAACTTACCACATCTAGTTGCACAACAGTCATTATCGTCATCGAAAATCTGCACCTCAACAGCGTCATAAAATCTCTTAGTTTACTTTAATAAAGAAATTTTCCGATCGAACTTTCTGCCAATATTTTTTTCACAGTCATAAATAAAAAATATTGCAGCAAATTTTTTATCATGCAAAAATAGATATGCACCAGAAATTCGAAGACGATAAAAATGAATCGGCTGACGTTATTTGTTACGTACGATCTTGTTACTTATAGCAAAGTTATCTTAGTATAGCAAATACTAGCTATCGCCAGCGACTCCATCCGCGCGGAATTAAACAAACTTAATTAGTAGCCTATGTGTTCTTCCAGACTATGTTCTACATCTGTGCTAAATTTCAGCGAGATCCATACATCAGTTCTGGACATATCTACAAACAAACATCCATCCATTCAAACATTCGCATTTATAATAGTAAGTAAGATTATAGACAGATGCTAGCTCAAGCTAGAGGATTAAGAAATAGACAGGAGCTGATTCTCAGACCTACTGAATATGAATTTAAGTTTCATAAAAATCGGTCTAGCTGTTTCGGAGGAATATGTTATCTAACATTGTGAGATGTACGATGTCGGGATATAAAGTTGTATGTTCGCAAAAATGTTGATTTTTACTCTTTGATTTTTTTTTAGTGCTGCATTTTCCGATGATATTGCACAAACCAGAAATGTTTACATTCTATTTCTGTATCTACTCTACAATTGTTTGGACAGTGATTGAATATGTTTCGATATATTTACTAATTCAGCAAATTGTGTAAATTTACACACGTGTGAAATAATACACAAATAAATGTAATTATTTTGCTGTTAATAATATAGTAATTATACCTTTTAATCTGTTGTCCTCTTTAAAGTTTCCTTATTGCTAAGGATGTATCCACCGATGTCCAATGTAAAAGCAGAACGAGTATAAAATAACTTAGTACTATCCAATGTATCCTATGCGTAAGACAAAAGAACAATCATCTCTTTCATTCCATTAAAAGAAAACAGAGATATATATATTTTAGGTGCGTAGCTGTCATCCTCTCCGTTTCCGCGGAACTATAATACCTGATAAGCCTATGTGTTCTTCCAGATTATGTTCTACATCTGTTCCAAATTTCATCAAGATCCGTTCCGGAGATATATTCGAACATACATCCATATAAACTTTCTCATTTATAATATTAGTAAGATTATGTTTCGGCGCAAGCCTGTATACCCCTAACACGGAAATTCGTGTTACATCTCAAGCATAATCTGTCTCCAATTGCGAGTCAGTTAAATGTTCATACAGGATAATCTGTTCCCATACACATGTAGAGTTACGTGGTCACTACATCCTGGTGAGCTAACTCTTGTACTCATTTATTCCAATTGTCGAAGCTATCAAACTATTTGCAGGCGAGAGTGCGGTCCGTGTACACAGCATATTTTGATTTGTTTATAAAAGTCTTCGTAACGTCTACATGATTGTTTAGTTTTCGAATTTATATCGCTATCTAATTACACAAAAAAAAATGAAGATTGAGTAAGTAGATTAAAAATAAAATTTACTTTATTCATTGTATTTCATAAATCATAAACTGTTGACCAATGTCTAGACGTCTAGCGTTCGTCGCGGCGGTGATTCGACAGATTGTCCTAATTCATGTCATAGTATCTAATTACCGCGAACGTAACATGTAATTTGAGCGCGCGACCTTTTCTGTCAGCCCGGAATGTTACATCAGATGTATAGATAAGTTTGGAGACGTTATCAAGATCCTTGCTCAGTGTACGTTGCCCGAGCCGCTAATGCGCACGCGTAGATGCGCGCGCGCACTCGGTCCGTATGCGTACGCTTTACATTTGTCAATGGATGCCTTGTCTGTTTTTTGATGATCATTGTAATTTTCGCGCGTCTTTTACTGAGTGATTGACTGTGGAGATAATTTGTTAGATGTTAAATTAGTTATACTAGTTTAAAAACGCTAAAGGATTAATAATCGGAACTTTTTTAATACATTAATTTTAAAAAAATGAGTAATTTTTGTTGTGTAAAGTAGAAGTAACTAAAATAAATGCGTATACTCCCAGGTAACAATATTTTCGTAGATTTGCTCCACTAGACAAGAAACAAACATGCTTATTGTTTGCCAAACATTTGTGGTACTTGTTGAAATTGGAAAAAACGTTATTTGGCGGATAATACATAAGAAAATACCGGCACTTGTAGATAATTCGATAAATATATACATTAACGTGTCAAGATATAAACATACTGATTCATAATGATGATTGAGTAGCAGAGACAGACAGTCGCAGCTTGAAATAAATCTCCAAACAAGATGATGAGTACCTAGAATAGGTACAGTCAGCTGCATAAATATTTATACATTTATTTAGATACTTGTACAGGCCTTATGTTTTAAAAATATGTATTCACGTATACTTCAATAAGAAATATGCACAGAAGCGTATGGATAATTCATACATCTTTTTGAATTAAAAATGTTTGTACTAAAGTTTTGCAATTCTTTACATATTTATGTAGCTGACTGTACAGAGCGTTGAAGTCTAGTAACTTTTATTCAATACAAATCAGTTTTCACTAATGACTAATACATTTGAAATTGTGACGTCAGATGACATCGGGGCTGCACGGACACGGGCACCAGATATCGCAGCCGGCGCACCACCTCGACTCCACCGTTCTGCCCGCTAAGGAGAAAACTGTGCACGGCAAGGAGAAGACCTTCAAGGTAAACTATAAGACCAACTCGGCTTCAGTTGGCACATCTGTAAGAAGAGTATACTGGTGTCGGACGTGCTAACTCAAATTCTTGATCGGGACCATCTAAGAGGGTAGACTGAAACTGTTATTAACATTGTTATGTTATGTAGTTGTGATGTATTGATGATGTGTTGTACAGGTGGTGATGGGTGGCGAGGTGGGTGTGATGAAGACGCCGGTGCTGGGTCCGCGGCCGTACAACGCGCTTGCAATCATACACACGCAGCAGAGCAACACCTTCGATATGCTAAACACGCTCACCACCAGTGTTGTGAGTACCTCTACATACATACATACATACACACATTCACACACACATACATACATACTGTGCTAAAATATACGCTAAGCTTTGTAAGCAAACATCACAACCAAGATTCAGACTAGTTGCGGAAAACATTCTGTTCATATTATTTTTACGTAATTTTATCGGACATTTTTAAAATATATAGCGGTATAATGGCCTTTTATAGTGTCGTCACTTTATTTACAAAGTTTCAATATTGATTTGGTTTAGCAATGTAATATTTTTTATATCACAAAGTGGCAAACGACCCTCTTCCACCTAAATTCGCTTAGCGAAGCGTTGCCAACCTTTAATCGACTAAAGAGAGGATGCACAGAAAGAGGATGTTTCCTGTACCTATACGTCCTGTCCTCTGTCAAATCCACTTTCCCTTCCCATCCTTTTCTTATAAGAAAGTAATTGAAAGAATGATTTGTTTGTATTGTATTGCAGGCCAGTCAGCCGGTGGTGGGTGTGGGCGTGGGCGGGTTCCGGCGGCGCAGCTCTGGTCAGGGCGCGCTTGCCAGCTGCGACCCAGAGCTGGACGACAGCGGGAACAAGCTCGTTGCACGACTGGAAGACGATGCCTTCATCTCGGAACAAGATCTGGTCAGTGGAAACTAACAAAAATACTAAGTTTTTCTGTCTCTGTTCTTTCAAAGAGAATTAATGTGATGGCAATATGTTTTTAAACAAGTATTTTAACAGTGGAAATCCACACTAAAGATGAAATAGGAAATCAAAGGAAGGGAGGTCATCATTATCATCAGCACAGTCTCGGAGCGTGCCCTAAATTAGGGGTGATTAGGTCATAGTCAACCCAAGTCAACCCTGGGTCAGTACGGGTTGACTTCACACATACCTTTGAATTTCTTCTCAGATATGTGCAGCATCACGTCGTTTTCCTTTACCGTAAGAACGTCGGATAATTGTACATATGTTAATCGAAAAACACATTGGTACATAGCGGGATTCGAACTCAGGATCTGCAGATTACACAAGTGTGGTGAAAGTGACAAAACATATCATCTGTTTAGATCTGCTTTTTGAGGTCTTGATACTTGTAAATACATTTTTACGGCCACAATTTCAATTTCCATGGTCCATCAACTTGAACCCTTATCAAATATTGGCATAACATCTGTGTCGATAACATTGTTATCATTAACGCCATCTGAGATAAGCGCATATTGATGACTTTGATCTTGATGACGTCATAATAAAAAAACGATTTCATTCTTAAAAACACTATCTTATTTTCCAATGCACTGAGAATTGCTGTTTGTGTTACTATGGGAGACACTTAAAGTAGATTTTATACTAAATTAACACTAAGCGAGTAGAGAGTAAGAGCGTCGGTGGCTCAGGCTCAGGTCAAGCACTTGACTTGCAATCTGCAGGTCCTGGGTTCGAATCCCCCCATGTACCAATGTGTTTTTCTATTTCTGATTTACATATGTACATTAGTCCGACGTTCTTACGGTGAAGGAAAACATCGTGATGCAACCTGCACATATCTGAGAAGAAATTCAAAGATATGTGTGAAGTCAAACAACCCGCACTTGGCCGGCGTGGTTGACTATGGCCTAATCACCCTTAACTTAGGGTAGGCTCCGAGCCCCTCGGTGGGGACGTATAGTGAGCTGATGATGATGATCTCTAAGCAGAATTTTGTAACGACTTCCGGTTGGCAGAATATTTAGGCTTTTAGACAAATTTATCTTACTTACTATTTATACTATAAATGCGAATGTTTGGATGGATGGATGTTTGTTAGAAGGTATCTCCAGAACGGCTGCATGGATCTCTGCAATTTGGCATAGATGTAGGACTTAGTCTAGCAGAGTCGCGGGCAACAGCTAATACACATAGTTGACAACTTTTCCGGGGCGTCTTTACACAGCACAAGCTCTAAGAGTCAAAGAAATGCTAGTGGAAATAGGAACTAAGTCCTACATATTGCTAATACGTGATATTAAATGTATAAAAAGTGTTATCGTATATTTTTGCAACACCTGCGTCTCAGGTAACAGCCAGCTGTGATACGGCATGTCGAATTCAAGATATTATTTCATAATATATTTACGTTTTCTTAATAAAACTAACATCCGTATTATATATTTGTTCATTATGTATAGCTATAATTTATCAATTAAATACTAAGTTCACTTAAAAAGTTAATATTCCTACGATTAAATGCAGGTTAGATTTATTGTCTTGAAGCCTATATTACTAATTTTTTTTGTAATTTGAACTAAACAGTAATGCTCTTTGAGTCATTTGACAAGACATTTGTCAATTAGTTAAAAATGTATAGTGAGAATTGGCAGGGTAGGGGACGTATAGGAAGGGTAAATCTCCACTTTTTGTGTGTGGATTAAAGGTTGGCAACGCATCTGCAATTGCCGATGTCAATGGGCAGCGGTCACTTCGCGGATTAAGCGAATTCAGTTGACCGCTTCTTCGTTTACTATATATTATGTACTATACATACATAAATATTCTTAAAAATAACTGATATTATATTCCCATAAAAATGACCCTAATTAAAAAAAATTATCATATTAAGTTTATTATATAATAAAATAAATGTTTTTATCAATATTGTTGCAGGAAGAGAACATACAGATCGCCACAGCGACGGAGAAAGGTCTGCCTCACGCCGACGACACGGGGGGTGAACAGCCGCAAGAACAACAGAATGGTAAATAAACAAGAATTAATTAAAAAAAAAACAATAAAAAATACAAGTATCTCCCCGTGATCCATGCTAGTATTTGCGCGTATGCTTGTAACCACGTAGTTTGGGTTTGGGATATTTTATGAATATTTATATATAAGAATTTTTCCCTAGGTGACATAATTAACCTCAGAATTAAACCAAGATAGAGGTAAACAATAAAGTATTAAGTAAATGTAAAAGGAGGAGAACGTCGGTGGCTCAGGAGTCAAGCGCTTCACTTGCAATCACACTTGCAATCTGCAGGTCCTGGGTTCGAATCCCTTCATGTACCAATGTGTTATTCGATTTACATATGTACATTTACTCGACGTTCTTACTGTGAAGGAAAATATCGTGATGCTGCACATATCTGTGAAGAAATTCAAAGATATGTGTGAAGTCAACCCGCACTGGGCCACGGTCGGTTGACTATGGCCTAATCACCCTTAACTTAGGGTAGGCTCCGAGCCCCTCGGTGGGGACGTATAGTAGCTGATGATGATGAAAATTTTTTATAAAACATCGAACTTGGGGCCGCGATATTTTTCTCTATTACCCACGTTTCTCGCTTAAAGACGTCTTCAATCGTGACCAGACAATAACTCTCGCTTATAGAGGTTTCTCGCTTATTGAGGTTTCTCGCTTATTGAGGTTTCTCGCTTATTGAGGTTTCTCGCTTATTGAGGTTTCTCGCTTATTGAGGTTTCTCGCTTATTGAGGTTTCTCGCTTATAGAGGTTTCTCGCTTATAGAGGTTTCTCGCTTTTAGAGGTTTCTCGCTTTTAGAGGTTTCTCGCTCATAGAGGTTTCTCGCTCATAGAGGTTTCTCGCTCATAGAGGTTTCTCGCTCATTGAGGTTTCTCGCTCATTGA